ATTCATAAAGTTTTAAATAATTTTAACCCTAACCCTTTTAACCCTCTCCGCTCCTGCTTATGATAGATTAAATATATCTATGATCTGACCTGTTGAACAACCCTTTCATCTCCCTTATCCTGCACATCTATACATTAACTCCTTCATCTCAATCCTCCCACTGTATTCGACCTGTACGTTAACTGCTTCACTTCCTCCTCCCTCTGTCTATGACAAAGTTTCCAGTAATAATTGGAATGACGCATGGAGACAGTCCATCACTGTTATGGCTCACAGCTCTGATGAATGTCATAATCCAGAGCTGTAATACAAGAAACTATTCTAAAGTGGGCATCTGATGAATAAGGTGTATTCACATCACCCAGGAGACCTTTACTCGTGAAGTTGCACTAAAAGCTAGGGCACAAAAATATTTATAGGAAATCATTGACGTGTTGGTAAAAGCTCCAAAAGAGAAACCTGTTGGTCAGTATAAAGAAGACTATGATGATAACTAGAAATTAAAGAAGGGGTTTAATATGCAAAGGCTAGCTTGGGAAACAAGAGGTAAGGTGACCCCAGCAAGATAGAGGCTTAGATTGAACTGGAAGGATAACAAGGATAATAAGAAGCCATAGGTAATCGGGTACTAGACTTGAAGAGAGCAATTACATTGTCTAGAAATAAATTAAATTATCAACCTTTTTACAAAATGTTTGATGCAGCAAGGTATCAGTGGAGGCAATAAATAAAGTAGTTTGCTGTATCAAATAGCACAAAGTTCACAACAGTCTATAGCCACAACCATTCCATAGTCATTATGTAGCAGAATTGATAGGAAAAGACAGTACCTCTGTGAAGTTACATACTGTATATAATTCCTATGTAGCCTATGAGAATTTGTTTTGTATTCCTTGGAGTCACATATCCATTTCTGTAACCAAATGGAATGTCAACACATACCAATATATTTATTATTTTATGGTGAGAAACTCACAATGTTTTGGTGCTAAGGGTGGAACTGGGCAAAGATACTAATAGTTTTTAGTAGGAATGCACCGATACTGATACTAGTATCGGTGCACATACCGAGTATTTGCTCCCGATACTTATCCCGATACCAGAACTTCCGGTATCAAGAAGCCAGGCGGCAAGTCATTACACACTGCCCGGCTTCCTGATTGGTGACAAGGGAGCATGGAGCCAGCTTCCCGGCCAATCAGGAGGCCGGGCAGTGTGTAATGACTCGCTGCCCAGCTTTCTGATTGGTCAGGAAGCTGGCTAATCAGAAAGCTGGGTGGCGAGTCATTACCTGCTCCTGGCTTCCTAATTGGCCAGAAAGCTAGCTCCATGCTTCCTCGCCACCTGGTAAAAAGGGAGCATAGAGATGGCTTCCTGGCTAATCAGGAAGTTGGGTGGCAAGTCATTACACACCGCTTAGCTTTCTGATTGGTTGGGAAGCTGGCTAATCAGGAAGCTGGGCGGCTAGTCATTACCTGCCCCTGGCTTCCTGATTGGCCAGAAAGCTAGCTCCATGCTTCCTCGTCACCTGGTGACAAGGGAGCATAGAGATGGCTTCCTGTCTAATCAGGAAGCTGGGTGGCGAGTCATTAGACGCCACCCGGCTTCCTTAATGGAACTTCCGGTATTGGTAGTCGATATTGGCGAGTACCGAAAGAAAAATCGGTACTCGTACTCAATACCGAAAAAAACTGGTATAGGTGCATCCCTAGTTTTTAGAATTTTTTTCAATGCTCTGAGAAGTCCTAATTTTAGTTCTGGTAATGATGCAATGGATTGTTATGCAGTAGCTATGGTGCATGAATACATAAGGGGCACAGCAGTACTTTTCCATCCATTTCTACTTTCAGTGTAAGAGTACCAAAAAACATATGTGGGATGTCTTTTTTTTGTTGGTGCTTCTTTGGACTATGGGGTCTATTCATGAAGCAGCCGAAGGATCTAGCCATAGCTTCGGCCGATGCTTCGGCCCCAGGACCCCTTCGGTTCAGTAGAACCGAAGGGCTGCTGTACGGGCTATTCAGTATAGCCCGTACAGCTTCCGGAACTTGGCTGAGCGGCCCAATCGAGCCGAAGGCATATGCCTCGGCTCGGCTGAGCCGCTCTGAAACCCGAAGCTGGCCGTGATATTATGGCTGGCTCCGGCCACTTGCAGAGAGATCAGCGTCCTAGGTTACCAGCTAACCAGGGACACTGATTTCCAGACAGCCTAACTCTCTCGGGCGCTCCGGAGGTCTCCCGCCCCCGGCCGCCAAGGAGAGAAGCACTGCTTTTTCTTTTTTTTTTTTTATTCTGACACGGAGCCATGTCAGAATAAAAAAAAATGTTTCACTATAGGAATGCATTGCTAGATTCCTATTGGCTATTTCAATTTGCAATAGCCAATAGCAAACTAGATATGGTACCCGCCCTCTGCTGCAGTTCTCCATCAGGTCCCCACTAGTGATTGAGCAGCAGAGGGTGGGTACCATAGCTAGTTTGCTATTGCAAATTCAAATAGCCAATAGGAATCTAGCAATGCATTCCTATGGCCAAATTCATTTATTTTTTTTGACGGCAGCAGAACTGCCGGCCAATGGAAACCTGTTGGGCGGAGCTAGCTGTCATTGCTAGCTCCGCACAATTGTTTTCTATTTTTATTTTTCTACTTTTTAAACTATTTTTCTGCTCGGTCCCACAGAGGGAGCGAGCAGAACAGCCACTTCGCTTCAGGTCGGTCATTCACTCGGCTGCCTACGGCAGCTTAGTGAATAGACCCATGTGTAGGAAAGGCCTCTACAACAGCAGATGTAGCAGTAGCATATGTAATCCAGCTCCTTTTTGTTAAGCTCCGCCATTGATTCAGCTGATGATGGGCTTCATCCTAATGAGCTGAGGTGCCATAAGTTAGGAGTAAGTAAATTAATTTATGTTATTATTAATAAGAGGTAATAACAATACATCATTCATATGCCCTACTGCATCAGTATTTATTCTTCAGGTTCAAACCTCCACTAGTTATATGATAGTTGGAAAATGAAAGGTTAAATCTAATTTGAGTATATGGGCAAGTGGACAACAAAGACTTTTCTTATTTAGCGCTTTGAAAAAAAGGCTGATGTCTTTTAGCTTTCATTTCCTACCTGCACAGTCATATCGTGCATATGAAATACACATTGGGTCTGCACTCCATTTGATGTGCCACATCCTTCAAAAACAATAATGTTATCACTGCTATAACTAACCTGTCAAACAGTGACACCATATTTAAGTGACGATGACAAATTGCTGTGCAATCTTTTAGTAATTATTTACAGCAGGGAAGCATGAAGTTACAAGCAACTTTCCAATGAAAGCATATACACAGTCATTACTTATAACCACAAAATATAAATACAATGAGAATATAAATATAATGAGAAAGCACATTTAACCATAAACTGGCTGTACAGCAAACTTTAAAGTATGCTTGAGTCATATTAACTTCTCACTAGCATGACAACAGTCATAATGAATCAGGAGAATGTTAAATCAAATCTCCCTTCTTTATTTAAGTCTTTTGGAAACAGAAACTAACAAAATGTCTGTATGCCAAGGAAGCTTAAAGCTTTAGTAAACAAGCTATCTTTTGACTACAAAGATCATAAATATTTCTGGGATCTTACAAAAATGTTCTGAAACACAATAAACACAGTAAAATGTAATCACGACTACATACCACCCACATCTTCAAAGGGTCAAAAAGGGACAATGATGTATATAGTTATCGCTTGCCCTTTTCATTATCTAGACAAGAATAATGCTGTAATGGGTCCATCAATTCTACATTTGAACTCGTATGATAATGTCCAGCAAGTATTTTGTAGTCACAGTGGGACGTGCCAATGGCAAACTCATCCAGCACATATAAACAGCAGATATGGACAGCAGATATAAACTGTATGGAATTTGGGATGGTATTACATGCTTCAAAACATAATATCCTTGTCTTGTAGATGAAAAGATATGCGTCATATCACAATATGCAGTGTGGATGTGTCACATGTAAATGTAGAATTACTTTTTCTACATTTATGCTGCCACAATATGCAACAATACATTTTGTGGTTGGGGGGACTTTTATTTAATATAACATCACAATAGTAGAACCTTACATAGTTACAATGACATTAAATTTAGCATTACTCTATAGAATAAACCTGGACACTGACCATATGGCAACTGAGAAACAGTTCTAGTTTGGGTTAATTTTACATTCTGGAGACCCATATCACAACTACTCTAGTTATAGATCTGGATTACTTTATGTTATACTAATGTCTGCACATAAAAGGTTTGAGATACACACTGTATATTAAACATGGTGTTTCATAAAATAGCAGATTCCTCTCCATGACATTTTGTTCTCTGTGAGTTTTTACTTTTGTTTTAGAATACAAAGCCCATTAACTGCCCCCCCTCCCCCAATCTAGCTACCCCTACCCCCGCTCACACATCTAAAATTGTTGATTGGTAACTGGGAATGAAATATGCTATATAGGATATTTTTGCCGAAATTTCTTATGATCTGTAAAAATGTTGCTTGTAAATTGAACTTTGGCAGTAATAAATGGAAACTGCTCCCTAAAAGGTAGGCATTTTCCGCAGAATTCCTTACATTTAATATGGAAAACATGTCAAAGATGTTTTTCCTTCTACTCGAACAACTGTAATTCTAATTCAGAGTTCTTCATAGGTCATAAAATCTGTCATCTGATATATTCAGTAGCTTTGCACTCTTGAACTGAAAGTTCAGTTTGGGGTAATTGGATTTGCAACTAACTAATTGGGCATAACATTACTAGAGAGACCATTACATACAGAAGCAGCAACCATTAAGGAATGATGCCTGATCATGAGTGAACATGTGCTGTCAGTAGAACGATTATGAAATATCTTATGAAACAATGAATATTAGTTCTTGTCTTAAACATGTTGCAAACCAACTCAGTGCTACAATTTGCTTTCCACTCTATTTCCAGAAACAATGTTATGCACCTGGAGCTGTAGGAAGACATCCTGACATGCCAAACAAATATGGTTACGAGAGAGGAAGCATTCTTAAGTCCTCACTGAAGATGGACAGGCAGAACAGCACAGGAAAAAAAATCAAGAAAGGCAAAAACTTCCGTTCCATATCCAAGTCACTTATGCTGTGCAACACTAAGAACAGCGATGATGGGTCCAGCCAGGAGGAGAAATACTCTGAAATCACTGAGATATCACGATGCAGTGTGCAAGATTGGGAATCACCTTTTGGTGGCATTCCACAAAACGATAACATGATACCAGAGCCTACAACTAAGAAAATTATCCTATCGAGAAGCACCTCTAATGACAAAAGTCTGAACAAGTCCTCTCTTAAGGTAAACTTCAGTTTAAATTAGAACTGTGGCCAGGCTATTGCCATTTAAATATTTGCATATTCATACCAAGCAGTAATTATTGAAAACAAGATCTTTCTGATCTTTGTAGCTGCAGACATTGTGAGTCAATTCATCCACAAAGTTCACAATAAAAGCAGACATTGTTCAAGCCCAGTCTCAGCCCTCTGCTCTCTCCCTTCTTCCTGTTCAGTTGCTTTATGTTAAAGTGACATTCAAGTCCCCCCCCTCCCCCCCATGCTGCTTTAAGGACTTACCTTAAATTATATTTCTTTATCCAATCATCTTCTTTCCAGTCGTTTTCAGCAGTCCCTCCAGCGCTGCTGCCGGTCTTTGATTCAGCGCTGACTGCTGTGTCTTCTGTGTCCCATGGTGTCTGTCCATGTGCATGCTGCCGGGCTGCCTGTATTGACTTACACTGTGGGGCTGATTTACGAAGCCCAACACGCACACGCGCAGGCTGCGTGCGCGTTTTAACCCGCAAAAATGCATTTACCAAGCGAACACGCACATCATGGCCCAGTTTCACGCAGGCATGGCGCATTTTTATGTATTCACGCGCGTGTCGTGTAATATGCGCCATCGGCTGCACGCCACTATAATAAAAAATTGCAAGTGCTAGAATCATATTTCTACTACTGCCATACATGTGCAAATCTCATTTTTGGGGGTTCATCATCTTGTGCAGACTGTCAAAATGAAATGTTTTTAATGTATTAGCATGTACATGCCTGGATATGAGCGCAATAAACGCGCAAGATGAGAATATATATGCGCACGATACGATTACCAGTGCGCAGAATTTACGCAGGTGAATATGTACCATTTTGAACTCTGTCACAGCAGCATATAAATAATGTACACATTTCGATTGGTGGTGTAGGCATATATCTACTATTATATTTTTGGGTGTGTATATTCAACAGTTTTGATTTTTGGGTGGATATTTGCATTGCTGTATGTGGATAAATGCAACTCACTTGATGCAGGATTTGAACCGGGGACATGGGTGCTGTGGGGCAGTAGCTCTAACCCCTGAGCCACTGGGCTTCCCTCAGGGAATTATGCTCATGGTTGTTGCACATCCCCATTGAATCCTTGGAAATGTAATACGCCATGCGCGCGTGTTTGTGCTATTTATCAAGCATCTGCACATAAATACGCCATGAATCACGCTTCTGCATACGTTTCTGCGCCAAGCGTATATGCGCGCATGCGCGCACAGTAGGCGTGTTTTTGCATGGCGTGTTCATGGCGTGTTTATGTGCTTAGTAAATCAACCCCTGTGTCTCTCCTCTTCTCCTGGCTGAAGATCTCTACTTTGCAAGCGCCCGGCCCATGATCCTTCACGGCTGCTTGAGAATCTTCAGATTTTCAGATGGGAGCAATCGCCGTAAACACAAATAGTTTTACCCTATTTGGTAACTTTTTTTATTTTTTTTAAATGTTTTTGCATCCATCTACTGCTTGCCAGCAGTAGATGGATGCAAAAAACTGAAGGTTTAACTGTACTTTAACATTAAAGAATAGAAGTCTGGTAGGCTGTCAAGTCATTGCTGGAGGTGCGGGGAAGAATGAACTGAACAACTGAAATGCAACCAAAAATGATACAACCTATATATTTTGAGTGAATTATTCCATAGTGTCTGCATATACAGAGGCCAGTGATGGTTTATTTAAAAGCTTATTTGCTGCTTATTATGAATATGTACATAAAACAGAAATGAAAAGCTAAAATTTGCCCCTTTCAACATAGGATTAACATATATATTTGCTAGAGACAAGGCTATGAGTATGTAAGTTCAGTATCTAACATGCATATAGAGATGTGTAACCAGTAATATAATAGACACTAATGAATGAAAGACACATAATGTTAACCGTTCCTGTGTATCTAAAGTCATTTTTGGGTAGGAAGTGATGAAAGCAGAATTCTGGGCATAATTAAAATAAATGAAACCTTTCCCACCTCTGGCTATTGGAGGATACAAAGCTCATTTTTTCTAAAGGAAACCTGCCATATGGGAAATATGGAGACTGTCATTACTGACCTCTCCTGAAAATTCTAGATGGCCGGCTGCCATGCTGACCATTTACTTTAATATTTTGTGTTTCTGAACACAGAAAAAGAATGAAGATACAAATGTATGACTTTTCTCTAACTTTCCTGGTCTGCATACTTGTTGCAAGTCAGTGATTCAGAAAGTACTGGAGCCAGAGAATCAACACAACCACCATTTAACTAGCATTTTCCAAAGAAGGTTAACAATGATATCTCGTGTTTTCTCATGACATGTTAAACTAAAGAAGCTAATGAGTACAGCGATGAAGCATTGAAAGACTGGCTAAAACACCCATGATACATGCAATGTAAAGATCTTATACAGTACAGTGATGCAAAGCACAATAGTAATGAAATGCCTAATGCACTAACCTATAAAAACAATTAGATTTCTGTTTACTAAAGTGGATGTCTGTTAAGTACAAGGGTTACATCTCTTGTGCACATTATAGTTGCTATTTGTTCTGCCTTATTGGATGATACTGTAATTTGCACATTGCAATTTGCAGTTTATAATTTAAAATTATTTTCATACCTAAACTTGATCAAATCAGCAACCTGTTTGCATGTTATGCATTGAAAGTTAATGTCTAATTGCACGAAACAGTGCTAAAAAAGAAATACAGTTTTAAGTAAAAGAAGGCTTTATTTACAACGATTGGTTAAAAATACCCTTTTAATTATAGTACATGCATGGTTTGTGAAAGTGCAGTCATTTTTATTTCTTTTATGACAAAAAAGAATGCCATCCCCCATGATACTAGCAGCATGGCATGCAAAACATGTCAACTGGATTACCTATGGAAAGGGGCAGCGAGCATGCAGCTCCCTCCAGGCTGATAGACAACTACATGCCATTCAGTGCTGAGTAAATAATTTAAAGGTCTTAAAAAAGCAGTGTCTCTCACAAAACAATGCTGCTTAAGATGAGGGGGTGGGATGAAAGCCTTACTCACATTCCACCTGATTCCCAAAGGGCAGCTAAGTAAGTTGTAATCCTCTCTCTGGTAAATCAATAAAGGGGCCCTTTGGACCACTTTTCTTATTTTTCCTATGTAGTTAAGCAAAGAGGTTACAAGAACACACATACACATACACAGGAGTAAAATATTTAGTTAGTGTCCAGAGTTTTAAGTACCCTGCAATATCTAAATTAATTTCATCAGGGATCTCTAATGAAGGAGCAACGGCTCCCTTGTTGGCCTGAGAGGTGAGGGAATTCCCAGCCAGAGAATGCTTGTAAGACTGCAAAGAACATTGGGGAGGGAATCTCCAGGCTTCACTGTGACATTGCTGGCTATAACACTGTGGGGTTCATTAAATAAAATCAAATAGGCTGTTTACTTTGCAATGCAATTTTTTGCAAGGAAATTTTCCTTTAGCTAACGGAAAGAGGTGAATCTCTGCTGACTTCCATGATCCAATCGTGCAAGCAAAAATACCGTTTCTTTTATTTTCTTTGCACGTGATTGGGTATTCTTTGCAAAGTTAATTTTCACCACATTCACTAAGCTAAGGGAAAAATCCCTTGCAACATGAACAGACTATTTAGCTTTAGTAAATCAATCCCTATGGCTCTTATAAAACAAAAAATAATGAATAAAAAGTGTTGCAACTTTAAACTAGTGTATGTACAAGTAAGGCCTCCAGCAGCTAAACTTATACAAATTTACTCAATCACCATTTTATTCCTTGTTGAATGAATGTTTCAATTGAGAATATCCTTTCCATTCACTTCAATGGTTACCCTAGGTGTCCCTATACCTGCAGAATGATGAATGCATGGCCCGGTGGAGACAACAAGATTATGTGATGAATGTGCAGTGAATGTAGCGTTTACCTGGTTATAAAAATGGTAAAAAGAACAATACGTAGCATTCCACAATAATACAAAGATGTTGATGAATATCAGTAAATGTCCTCCAAATGTATGCATGTGCGTGGTATTGAGATGTGTAGCCCCGCTCATCTCAATACCACGCACAACAAGGAAGTATAGGACATCTACACGCTGCCTGTGAGCGGCCAATCTGTTTGCTTTTCAACTGTAAGTTACTATATTTTTTTAATAAATGTTGATGACTACACCATGAGGAGTTTCCTTTTTTATTCTCGTTAAATATCGATCTATGGGACTCTGATGAGACGCTTGCTGGGACGTATCTGCTTCTCATCTTTTTATTGCCCACAAACGATATTGGTTTGGTGAGTGCGCACCCCAGAGGGGAATTTGGCGTGAACACATGGTGTGGGAGAAAGATTGCAAAGCAACTGTTTGAAGTTTTTTTTTTCATCAATATATTATATACAATTGGATTAAATAACAGTTTGGACTCACTTTATGATTTTTCACTTGCATATATGACCCTTTGGATTGATTTGATGCACGTTTATATTTGATTGTAACAAGGAATTTTCTTATAATTTTTGTATAATACGTTTTTTTGCACTTTTGCACAAAGTTAAATTTTGTATTTAATATCTCACTGCCTACCACCAGGATATGGTAGCAGATTATGCACTAAAGATTATAAGCACTTTTATTGTGTGTTAATAACACGTATTTGATAGTTATGGTTCACTCATTGGTGACCCTGGGCGCTGCACACTCATTTACATAAATGTGCTTCATAAATGAAGTAATTGATTGGTCACCAACTGTGAATGTGTTTGTATGTGTTATATGTGTTTTATAAACATGCCCCTTAGAATCACAACTGGCTTATCTGTAAATTATCAGATGAATTATATTACTCTTTTCTGGAGTGTTTTGAGCTAAATTTAGCTGGCAGGAAACAGCTTTAGCTTTATGTTTACGTTCTTATTGCTACATTGGGATCAGTCTGATTACAAAACACCCTGGAGTTGCTATAGAAAAGACTCCTCCCTTTGACTATACTGGGCAGATAAATCATCACAATCAGGTTAATAAATATGTGAATGGTTTACTTCACTGATTGATGAGTACTTCACTGATCTTATCCATCCTGCAAAACATCTCATTCTGAAAATCTTGAACAGACCAAAGCAGCAGGGGGTTTGTAATATCTCTAGACCACAAGCCATATATGCAGTAGACTAGGTAGAAGCTTAACAAACCTGGATTTTTACTTTAAAATACATACACTATTTATTAAAAATGTTTATAGTTGTGATACATTGATAGGAGGTTGTACTTAAGAAAGAACATCAGTATGAAAACAGAGGTGTATTCAATCAATCACTGGTGCAATAAAACCTATTTACATTTTTTAACTTGCATGATAAAATAGGCACATTTCTATGGTAAAAATGTTTGTTGAACTGGATCTATCCAAGGCAACTGTTTTCTATAACTGAGCTACAGACCGCCAGCATTTTATCACATTTGGCACGAAGTTTCTTTCATAACCCCAGCTTGGATTTCAGAGACCTTTGCCTACAAAACGGCTGTATACAGATTAACCATGGCAAACAACCTTAACCCTGTGCTTGTGGAAAATATTTTGTTGCTGCTTACAAGAAAATAGCTAAATAGAAATAAGAAATGTTATATTCTTCCATTTTACAGGAAGCAGCTCTGAATGCATTTGTAGAAAGTCAAGCTAAACTGGAAAACCATTCCCTACTACAAATGAAGGTTCCATGTGTGAGGACACGGAGTAACTCAACAAGTATGTTTTTCCTTCTTAAACTCCTTACAATGACAAGAGACAGATGGGTTTCATTTATCCAAGTGTCTCAAATAACAAAATGACTGCATTGTCCTGTAGCCGTAAATAAAATGCAAGCATGAACTGAACAGTGACAATCTGAGTTTAAAAATATGAATAATATTGTTGCTGTTAACTGCTCTAATGCAAAACAAACCATTCTCATATTCAAATGCATGGAAATCATTGCCAACTTGCGTAATAGTTTTCATGCAGAGACAAAGCTAAATTACGAAAAGGCTTTGAAATAATTAAATAGCAGAAAAGCATTATAGAGAACAGCATGGAATGATGCCAATTTATTAGACTTTGGGAGGTGTTACTCAAGGGGATGGCCTACAATTACCCAAATGGTTCCCTGCTTGGTTATCTTCCATAGTTACATTGTTAGTCAGGTTATAAAAACTCATACATACATTATGTTGAACCAAATGAGAAAAATAAATTCAAATTCTTGCATCCTCAAAACCCTAAACCGTCACTTGATCCAGAGGGAGGCAAAAGACCCTTAGAAGGCATGATCCAGTTGGCTCAGACGGGGACACAATTCCTTCCTGATCCCCAAAGGCAATTGGACATTCCCTGGATCAACAATCTACACTGTTTCTTATAAATATTAACAACCAGTTATATTTTATGCATTTAGAAAAACATCCTGCCCTTTTGTACAGCAGTTGCATCTATGTATTTCTACAACGTACGAAGCGACTATATCCTTCCTTTTTTTGTTCAATTGTTATCTCTAGGGAGAATAAAAAAGGTTCAGTAGACATAGGCAAAACATTTGTTTCAGTTTGTTTTGTTTGACTTCGGATTCAGGTCTGAAAATCAATTTATTTTGTTATTTGGATTTGTCCGCATCAGAATAGTTTGTTAATTTTGGATGCGTTAGATAATTACAAACTAACTTTAAATGCATGAAAGTGACATTAAAAAAAAAAGTTATGTTTACTTTTTCTTTTTAACTTTTGACAGTCCACAGAAACAATAAAAAAGTGCCCCTCCCCAATTAATAGGAATTTTAGGGAGGACCCCAACACCATAAAAAATGTGTGGGGTTCCCCCTAAAATCCGATACCAAACCCTTGATCAGAGCAGTAGTCTGACAGAGCTACCCCATTAAGCACCATACCAGGCCACATGCCCTCAACATGGGTAGGGTGCTTGTTCCCATGTCAGTGAGGACAAGGGCCTCTTCCCTACAACCCTGGCCCAGTGGTTGTGGGGTCTGCGGGCAGGGGCGCTTATGAGAATATGGGTGCCCCCTTTCATAAGGTGGCGCCCCCCTCGTGAATGAGTAAGGGGTAGTTGTTACCCCTACTTATAACAAATACAGTAAAAGAAGCAAATAAACACACCACACCGAAAAAGAATAGTTTATTTGAATAAAAAAAAACACACAACACAGATTTTTGACAATTAATTTATTAGAAAAATCCCCAAACAATGTACATCAATGTAATTCAAACGTCAATCACGTTAAGTGGTGTAGATTGATGTCAGGCGGCCGAAGAGAGCTGAATGATCAGCCGAAGCTATGGCTGGATCCTTCAGCTCCTTTGTGAATAACCCCCCTGGTGTGGATTTGTTGAGAACTTCAGTCTTTAATAAACCCATATTAAAGATACTCTTGTATGTGGTCCTTTTCAAACCCTCAACTAACGTAGTAGTTAACCATAAAGGTCTGTAGGTACCTGGTGAAGATTTTGATCCTTTAAAAAGAAAGCTAACACATTTGACTTGCACAAATCGATTGGTACCATGGCAGTCATTAAAGAGTCTCTACATATTAGAAACAACGGTTTAGAAATGCTCCTGCTCCTTAATTTTGCATCATTTGCTGATCTGAAATACACACTTTTTGAGCCTTGATCAGATTGTCATTGACTTAATGGAACTTTCGGTTCACAAATTCCAAATTTTTGAGGTTCACACATTTTTGAAATCGTTACCATGACCCATAGATTTTCAAACTATTAAGAAGTCACTTAATCTCTGTTTAGAAATAACTGAGCTTGACTCTTTGAGGTTAGGTTGGTGTAAGTCATCTGGTCAAGGTGCTTTAATTTGTGTTTCTGGACCATATCAGTATTGAACCATTATGGTATATTGAGATTGTGTTAATTCTGTCTTCATCTTGTACTTTAGCTCCACTGTTTATCTTGGTATATACAGAACGGAATAAGTTATTTAATAGATTTGCTTTCTTTTTGCCAACTTGACCTTGAGCCGAACCTCCGGCAGGCTTCTCACTGCTGTTCGGGCTATTCTTAAAGATCCCGAACACCACACACCCCCACCTGATTCTCTGAGAGCTCACATAACTGTTCTACCCAAGGAGGGGAGGGACTCCTCCCTCTGCCCCAGCTACCGGCCGATATCTTTACTTAATGTGGACACCAAACTATTCGCTAAAATCTGATGTTATTTTTATTTTACTTACAATTTTTCCCCCTTCCGGGTCCACTTTGGCACAAATTATGTAATTGTGCCCAAAGATTGCATCCTGAAGGTTTCATCAGCAGTGCATTGCTGGGAAATCTCATCTGTAATCTTATGAGATCTCGGAAAGGCATTTTCAACCCCTGAGATGATGTGCATGGTCACATGTCCTAGTCACATGTGCCAGAGTTCCTATGAAGTAAAGGGAGATCTATTAACCTGCCCTTAGTTAAAATGGCCATTGTGAGAAGAATGGGGAGGAAAAGAAAAATAAGGTATATAATTATCTATACAGTAAGTATGTGTTTGAAGATTGTCATTACTAACAATTTCTAAAGGTGTCTTTGTTGTTATTTTGTAGATATGACTAAAGTTCCTCTTTAAGTAGAGCAACATATTAAACAAATATTGAGAACAGGGAATTCGATGCAAATGCACAATAACCAGTAACCAGCCTCTTAGTGCTCTATTTATCTTTGAAGCAGTCGGGCTGGTATGCAATTCAAATGCATTTTTTTTACTTATTCTCCAAAATAAGAAAACACGCAAAAATCATCAGGTAGTCGTTTTTATTTTGGACAAAATATATAAGCTCCCCACTACTGCCAGGGGTCCTCATATCTAGTCGGTGCTACATAATACTTTACAGTGTGCTAAAAACTAACTTTTTTATTGGGTTACCTGGGGAAGATCCAATACCATGCTCTAGTAACCCTTTGACCGCTAACAGCATATTTGCAGTAGGTATAAAAGCAGGGAATTAAATTATGTATGCAGAATGCTAAAGTCGCCTATACCTTTTATTAAGCAGGCAATATGGTATGTATTTTAAATGCATCTTTTGACTTGCTCCTAACCTAAGTAGCCAGCAGATTTTCAGATTTCATTCCCCAGAGTTTATATTACTAAATACCTCAGTGCTCATAATATAGTCTGTCAAATATCCATTATAAATCACTGTGGAGGCTCCAGTGGGTGACTTATTGTTTTACAAAGGCTTTAATGGAAAGGCATGTAGTGGATTGCTTAAAGACAATATCCTATCATCAAATGTGTCTATCTTCTTACAGCTTCATCTGCTAAATAACACATACTGTACATCATTACGTGTTAGCTCTAGCACTTCTGTATTGTTTGAAGATGTGTTACAACTGGGAACTATGACATCTCATACCTGACATTTCAAAATGCATTTCTCGGTAGCACTCCTAGAGAGGTGGCTGAACCAAATAAGAATGTACTTTTTTTCCACTGTTAGCAAAATGCTTCCACTGCCTGATGAGTTACTGAAACATGCTAACCCCTTTCCCCTTTGTTCTAACAGCCCATATAGCAATCTAATGATATCATATGGTGTGACTTGTTCAACCTGACTGTTCCTCTATTTCAAAGCTATTGCGCTATTGATATAATATTTAAAACACAGTGCCATCTAGTGTGCACACAAGACTATTGCACTTTCACATACTAAACACTTCTACCATTTTATGTTATTAAGTTTGCACTTGTTTAGGGAGATAAAATAACAGAGTTATACTCACTCACCACGGTCTCAGCTGGCTCTTAGACCAGTCCCTTCAGCCTGTATCCTCCTCTGGTCCAGCAATGAAATGTCCTTCGGTGCTCTAACGTCCTATACACTGTATAGGACATGATGAGTCACAGGACCTTAGACCGCTGAAGCAGAGGGGGAGAGATACCCCGGGGACCAGTCTGGGAGCCGATTGGGATTGTGGTTCGGGTGAGTATGTACCTAGACAAGGGCTGCAAAGGCTAAGATTGTATTTGTCTAGAGTTCTTTCTTAATTAATTTCTAATTAATGAATTATTTGAAAGATTTAATAATTTGCTAGACCATTTGTTAAAATAAACAAATATCAAATAATAAACTAACATTAGTTCAAGGCCCCCACCTATTATACATTTTCTGCAAGACAGATATATTAATTGACGTGTACTGAGGCTAAAATTTTACTTTTATGTCGGTAGAGAGGCTAAAATATTACTTGTATGTCTGTAGAGAGGCTAGAATATTACTTTTATGTCTGTTATATGGCATCAACTTGTTGATCCCATACTAAACTATGATTCATTCCTGTCTGGTGACAGGGGGAGGATAATAGCACAAGTGAAGCTCTGTACTAAAATTCTGCCAATCTACATGCCCAAGCTAATAAAATGAATAATTGATATTTTGAAGCATGTACAAGAAAAGTCACTAAAATACATCTTTGACATAAAAACAGGTTATTTACTATTAAGCCCAACAATAAACATACACTATTACGCTAAGCAAGTTTCTAAATATAGAAATTAAAACACAAGAAAAAGGGCCTGTGATACCAAAGCAGTTCAGCATCCCACATTTTTTTATCTTTTTATGCTAGGGCAATGTCCTAAAATTGTTGAAACATTTACAGCTCTCTAGATTAATATTTTTTTTTGTTTTAAAAGTTAATTGCAATGAACTGCATATTTACAGCCAGGGACGTAATTAAAACTGTATGGGATTTTGTGATTTTGTTTTTTAAATACTATTTTATGTGCATTGCATTTTCTCATGCCTACCTAAATATTGCGAGTAATATCATTACATGTCTAAGTAAATGTCTTGAATTCTTACATTTATGTTAAATTAGGTGTAAACCCGTACTGGATTGGTGAAATTGATGCACCTGCAAGTAAGAAGCCCTTACTTTACAGAGACAGACAACCCCCCAACTTGTGTAGCAACAGAAAGTCTTTATCTCAGCAATTAGACTGTCCTTCGGGTATTGTACAAGTATGAAGCAATTTTATTATTCTGTCTGAAAAATGTTTAATGCACAAACACATAAGGATATAAGTGTTGCATAAAACCTTGGGTGGTCATTGTCCTGTGTGATTGTTAGCAGTTTATATACACACTAGAGCATATGATCTTGAGTAAAGTTGTATCTGAAATGTTAACAAAACAACCAGTTTATCACTGGAAAAAAGTATTCTGGACACAATACATGTATGTAATAGAATTCAATATATTTTTTCCCTGTGATATCTGGAACTTTGGGAAACCCTGCAATAGAAAAAATATATTAATTCTAACACAAGTAAACTAAGTGCATGTACATAATGTATTATATACAGTGTACACTATTGTATGCTCTAGCCTTAAACAGATCAAGCATTTATAGTTGCTATTGTCTTGATGGTCCATCCAGCTACATAGTTCCATATATCTTGATATTTGTCTTCTTGATATTCCTGGGGTACCATATGGTTTTATATGTCTGATCACAGCCAGTTTAGATTTATGTTTTGTCTTTGTCCTGATGTTTTTTTCCCTTTTGTGAGTCTTTTTACCTTCCTTGTTATATCTGTAGATTATTCATTAAATTTTCAATTTTTAATGCTCCACTATGCCAAGGTTGCTGTATGTATGTTAATGTTTTGCTTCTATGTGAACTTATACTCAATAAAGCTGAAATAAATAAACAGATCAAGCTCTTATGTATAAAAGATGGATACATAGATGTTGTCTCATTAATCCTGTATGTTTCTAGGGTGTTTCCCGTTCATCGAGGTCACTGAGTTCTGCGCACCTAGCGAACACGAGAAGCTCTTCACAAGTGTCTGTTATTTCCAATATTATTTTAATGAAAGGCCAAGGCAAAGTTAGTTTTTTTTTGTAATTCTTATTAGACTTTAGAACATTTCTATATTTAAAATCAGGATATAAAAGGCAACTATGTTGTATTTCTGTTTCTCAGGGACTTGGGTTCAGTATTGTTGGTGGGAAGGACAGCATTTATGGACCAGTTGGCATTTATGTGAAGACAATATTTCCAGATGGTGCAGCTGCAGCTGATGGAAGACTGCAAGAAGGTAAATTTGTCCACAAATCAACTCATCCTATTTGTTTTATTTTAGGATTGCAGTAAGCAACCTGTTTTTAGACGTCTGCATGTTTTGTTTTTGCAATAAGAAAAAGAAATAAAGAATTGTTACACGTATCAACATTTTAAAACATTATTTCTAAATAATCTGCTGTCCTCCTTGGGACCTTCCATAAAATGTAACAAGACTCTACTCTGGTAACCCAGTACTATCAGCCTTAGTCATTTGATCGACAACCTTTGTGTGTAGGCACTGATCGATATTAAATAGAGAAGAACAAAAGAGCAAAAATAGTGGTGTTGCTCATAGCAACAATTAGAATATTTTATATTTCCATAAAGTAACAAAGGTGAATGGTCAATAATTCCACATGGGTGCTTATTTTTATTGTTTTTTAGTTTTAATGAATCACACAGAAAATTGTGACTTCTACTAAAATATAGAATCAAGTATATAAATGTGATTATTTGTAAAATGAACTAAAGGCAGTAATGATAAATCTTGCATATAAACTGTTGGTGGCTGATCATGCATTTACATTTTTGTTGTTGCAGGGGATGAAATTCTAGAACTGAATGGAGAGTCAATGTATGGCTTAACACATAATGATGCTCTGCAAAAATTTAAGGTGAGAATTGATACATGTCACTTTTGTTGTGAGTCTTATACAAGCTATGGAGGATGTTTTCTTGTGACAAATGGAAGAAGGAAAATATAAATATTCAAACAGAAATAGCCATGTGCATATAGCAGTATCACAATGGAGTATGCAGGGACCACCAATAAATTAATTCAAGGGCCCAACCTATTATACATTTTTTGAAAGAAAGATACAATAACAGAAGCTAAAATATTACTTTTATGTCTGTAACATGGCACCAACTTGTTACCCCACTCTAAACGATAATTCATCCATTTAGTCAGGTGACCAGGTGACACAGAGAGGATAATAGCACCAAAGGGAAGCTCTACGCAAAAATTCTGCATTGTTCTTTTTAAAATGCTAATATATGCAATGACAAACCTCCCTAGACCCAGTGTGGGCAGTATAGCTATAGTATTGCTGATCTGGCACAATGCACAGGCATCTTAACTCTTCAGTAAGATGTTATGATATGTAAGAAAGCAATGACATTCCTATGCCCTGTGCCTGCTAGGCTAATCTATCTTAAGACCTGCCTTAAACATAACAAAATTAGTAAAAGCCAAGTCAAACCTATAGATTTACCCAGATGGCAGGAGGCTCCACCAATAAAAACCTATATGGAATACAGAGTCAGAATACTTAGCCCTCAGTAATAAATAAAACTGAAAATAAGTCAAGATGTTAACTTAACATATTTAAAGGAATTGCAGCTGTAAGATGACTGCTTCAGTTAGTGTCTTTTGAGACTTAAACCAGGAAACTCTAACATTATTAATTACATTTGGGAATTATAATCTTATCAAGGCTATGACTAAGATTACAAACTAGTCATGTTTACTGTTTCATTGTGACATTCAAAAGACAAGTGCAGATAAAATCGATTACTTCACTGTCTTCTAGCTAGGGGTCCTTGAAAATAAGCAATTAGTGTCATAGATTGGTAATTATTACGTTTCTAGAAAAAAAACATATTGATTGAACTTTTGTTTTCTTGAGAATATATATTATGCAGAAGGCACTTTGTTTAGTATATTGTAATTTAGCTGTCATTTGGCATCTCTCTTTAGTTGTAGTTTCTTAATTGATATTTAGTTATTTATTATTGCTGTAGCACTTTTGCATAATATTGTATTGTGCTTTTCCATCAGCAAGTGAAGAAAGGAGTTCTGACACTAACAGTTCGAACAGGACTCAGCCCTCCAGATTTTAAAGGATGCAACTCTCAGATGGTCCGATCTAAAAGCTCCAGTACCTGTGCAATGAGGGACCATAGCCCCCTTCATCCTGAGAATACTTCCTCTTTATTCAGCTCCAACCCAAATGACAGAGTCCTTATTGAGGTGTCATTACAAAAAGGTATTGACAAGATCTTCTATGTTCTGGCAAATCAGAAGGAACAGAGTACCATATGATTTCTTCAGGGAAACATATACTGGAGTAAAACAAACCAAAATATGTATGAATGGTTCCTAAATAATGTTCAAGCTGGATATTTATTATATAACACAAAATAAAATTACATATGTGTATTGTACAAGTCACAAATTAAAAGAGCTATTGATGGCCTCCTTCTTAAAATGCTAGATACCTGGTTGTTACGCTGACATACTAGCAGAAAAAGTTCTTATCTAAATACAAGTTCTGGGGCAGTGACTTAACATACTCAAGCCAGGGGGTCAGAATGTCTGCCAAGCAGGATGGAGAGTGCCAGAAGCATTTTGTAAAGTCCAACAGTAGTCTTATTAAAAGTCCCATTCGTTCAAAGGCCAATGTGTTTTGTTTTTTCTTGGAGGGGGGGGGGGGGGGTCAAAAGGCCCCCCTTCTTCGGGGTTGGACAAATCC